GTATATTCACCCACTAGTGGTGAATGTGATGTGCTCAGCTATATTATAGTTTATACATAGTTCCAGGTCATATGATCCTGGACCGAAATCGCATCAAAATATCAAATTTGTTGCCACCGCCTTGCAAGAATGCAAGTTGTTTTCCTTTAAAAGAGCAGTTATTAGAAAAGAAAAAGAAAAAGAAAGAGAAAGAGAAAAGGATCCTGTGAGAAGCCGGCCCAGGCGCAAGGAGTGTTCCAGCGAGGAATGGGTTGGGCTGGCTGATGGGTGCACCTCCACGCTAGTCCAGCCAGTCAAATGGGCCCGCCATCTCCATCGATATCTGACGGGTCAGCTTGCTCCACGTGGCCCATCGGACGGCCCACGCAGGCCCCTGGTGATTGATCTTGGAATCTTGGGCGATTGATCGATCGCAAGGACAGCTGATTCGTGTTCCTTGATTGTTTCTCCCAAAAAAAACTTAGATGGACCACCGGTTGCTTTAGTTGAAGGCATCATCAACTAGCTGTGCAGCTCAGCTCGGCTCTGGATGCCATGTGGGTTATGTATGAGTTGTTTGGTGCTGCACATTTTTTTAGTCTATGTTTGCAGGTTTCATCGGCTTCAGGTTCGTTTTTGAAAGATAAAGAAAAATAGCTCTTTACTACATCGTACAACATTTTTTTTCGGAAAGCGGAGCCATTTTGTCAGTGGCGGAACTAGAAATTTTGAGTAAGGGAGGCCGGCTAAACATGGTTGATCCCATCAAAATATATTCTATACTTTAAAAAAAAAATTATAATCATGGTTTTAAAGATTCTCAAAGGTAACTAGTATGAAAATAGTGAAAAAGTTAGCATAGCTGCAAATTTTCATTTAAACATCTATTATATTGGGCTAACGACTTTCATACACCTCATTTGTATTATTTATGATTCGTACCATACAAGCCATCAGTCAGTGTATTAATTGTTGATTTTACTGTAATCTTTTTCTCCTTTTTGAAAAATAATATCAAATGTCTTCTTTTAGGTTAGTGCTCTCAATAGAGTATGCTGATGCCAGGTGAAAAAATTGCAGCATACACTTCCTCTATCCTTAAATGTTTTTCGCCACGATTTACATGCCGATAACTTTAACTTGATTTGTATAAAATACGTGCAATATTTCTATCTTCAAATAAATTTATTAAAAAACTAGATTCAAATATCTATCTAATAATAATAATTATGTATCATAAATATTAATATTTTTTAATATATATTTAGAACCACATACATTTAGGGACTGAGGAAGTATGTGTGAAATGACATGACATAAAAATTTTGAAGTCAGACTCTGCAGGAGGCAGCAAGACAACAGAGATCGACTGCTTTTTTTCTTCAGAAATACTATACAACACACATGTGTTTAAAAAAAAAACACATGGATTTCACCCGAGTGATATCTGGGCATCTGTCACTCGATTTTTTCCAACTATTTGGTCGTCGGTCTGATCTCGTGCGTCCTCAGGCTAGGAGTCCGACGCTGTGCCATGTTGGAGACCGCGCCTACATGCGCCCTTGGATCCAGTGCAGCAGACTACTCTGTGGCTACAGTCCCCCACAGGAGAAACGCCGGTCCATCGTGGCCACAGAGGATCCTGAGCGGGGATCCCCACGAGGGGACCAGCCTGCATGCACGGCGCCATTCATGGATGGCAGCCTAGGCGCCGGCGGCGGCTACCTGAAGCGACCGGGACCTACGCTTGTTGCCGCGATGGTGTGATTTGTCCTTTTATGAAAAAAAAATTGTTTTCTATGAAGGTATAAAAAGGCTGGAGGTAGAAGAAAGGTAGAGGTCGTTAGATCTTAATCTTATGGTGTAAAAAAATTCATGTGTTGAAATTACATAAAACACATTGTTGTGAAATAGACAGACTCTCTTTTTCTCTGGCTGTTACTGCAGGTCGTCGCTGCCGCTGCATACGTACATGCTAGTCTTGGTTCATCGTGTTGCTTATTACGTATCTTCTTTGTATAAATGGCCAACGGGCCGGCCCGACACGGCACGGGCCCGTGAAAAGCACGACCTGATAGGGGTTGGGCCGACCACGACGCCTTGAGCCTCCCCCCGTCCGAAATTGAGCTTCGATGCTGGTTCGGCCGACGGCGTGCACTTTCTTGAAATTTATTTTCGTCTTGGTCGCCCACGGTAAGCACGACTGTCAGAAGGCAAGCGACCAAGGCCCTCTTCAAAGAAGCGATAGCGGCGTCGAGGTTCAGGGAAGCCGCTAAGCCGCGTCGGCGGCATCAGAGAGAGGAAATGGAAGAACGGGATCCAGGTGGGGCAGCACGGGAGCGTGGTGGCGGTGGTCGACGCCGCTGGCCGCGCTTCCGGCCTCCTCGAGGCGATCCAGAAGCGTCAACCGTTGGAGCGAGCAACGGACGCCAGATCCGTCGCCCGGGTTAGCTGCTGGCCGCGCCGAGGCCGCCAATGGTGCATGGAGGAGGCCAGAGAGAGAGAGAGGAGGGAAAGCGAGGCAGTGCAGCATTGCTTGAGCCGGATCCGTGACCTCAGAGGGCGTGTGTGGCCGCACCCGAGGCGTGAACTCGAGGCCCTTGCCAGACTCGCTCCGAGAGAGCGTCCCCGCGAGGAGAAGGAGGCCGTGGCGCCACCCACCATGAGCGGAGGACGGGGGAGCAAAGTCGCGGGGGAGGGTTTCACGGAGGGTGAGTGGAGGCGGCGACGACGTAGAGGAGTGAGCGCGACACTACAGTGTGGGAAGGGGATGTGGGCTGGGGAGGGGAGGGAGGGAGGTGGGAAGGAGTTAGGGTTTGGGGAATCGGGGGTGGAAAGGAGGGGGGGAGGAGGCAGGCAGTCGGGCCCGATGGTGGGCCACCCGGCTCAGATGTCGTCGTGTCATGCCGGCCCACGTGCCTGGGTAAGGCCCAGGCACGGCCTGCTCCTCCGGACCGTGCCAGCCCGAGCCCGCTAGCCGCGGGGCCGAGCCGTGCTTGGGCCGGGCCAAAAAAATGGGCCTTGGGCCGGGGTCGGCGGGCTCGGGCTGCATGGCCAACTATGCTTCTTTGGAATCTAGATGGGGTTAACAAATTTGCACGGTGTCAGGGGGGGCCTGCCGGCCACCCCCTGGTTCCGCCAGTGCATTTTGTGAGAAAAAGTTCTCCAAACGATGCCTTACTATTACATACACCTATTTAGTAGTAGAGCTTTGGTCGGCCCTAGGTCCCTACGTGTACTATAACAATGAATTATTTTTATCTCTTTTCTCAAACCGAACTAAAATTCGGTAAATAGCTTTGCTAGTCTGACTTCTCCATAATACACTATACAGATAAGGTCTAAACATTACTCAATCCATTTCTAATTGTAAGTTATTTTGTTTTTTTTATAAATTTATAGTTTTACTATACATCGGGATATAATATAAATCTATGTGTATAACAAAATTATTATGGATCTATAGAGGCTAAAATGACTTAGAATTTGAAATGAAGGGAATAAAATTTATTATAAAAGAGTTGTTTCGTCCTATAGCAAACATTGATTGTTTTACCCTTTTATATGATTTTTCTTATAGTGGATTTCACTATTTATATCCTCCGTTCTCGACTCTTCTCTAGACTCTGGATATAACTCATCACAAAAATATGTACGAGTCTTTGGTCATTAATACCTTGCATCTATTTAACGAATTATACCAACCTTATCTTATAAATAAACGATGCACTATTTGGTGGAGCTCCAAAAAGCTAGGTATTTGTACCTTCAAGAAAAGTTGCATTTAGAATCAAGGTACAACGAGGGCATTTAGATGATTCGTTTTCTTATTGGGTACAATTATTTAAATATCTAGATGTAGAGCATAGCATCAATCACCGATGTAGTGTAGTAAACAAATGGCCCCAAAAGCAATCTATGTGCACACAAAAAGTTTCTTAAGGAGCGAGTTAGTGGTAATATTGACAGATAAATCATCTTAACCACATCTAATTTTCCTAAATCGCTTAACATAAACGAGAACACAAAAAGGTCGTTTAAGAAGAAGAAAAAAGGTGCACCTGCCTATACAAATAAAAAAAAAGAAACTGTGCCATTTTGCAAACAACCATTTTGCAATTAGAATTCAGAACTGGGCAGAAACTATTCCCCCATTTTTATTTTCTATTATTCTTTTTTATTAATTTTATCCCACCCAGGATGCGCATATAAAAACCAGCGAACCCCTTGGCTCTCCTCACTTGAGCACCACAACCACTTCTCCCCTGTTTCCTCGTGCGTTCTCCGTGGGAGCAAGGAGGACTCGCGGCCGGCGGCAGCGGCAGGTTCTCCTAGATCTCCGGGTAAGTGTTGAAAGAAAAGAGAGAGGGTTGGAGGAAATATTTCCGAATCTTTCTCCATTGCGATTTTCGTGGCGTCGTATTTAGTCTGAAACGCGCAGTTCATCCCATTCCTGCGCACAGTAGATCAGATCCGATTTGTTCCTGCGGCATTCCGATTGCTGGGCGCTTGTTGCCGATTAGTAGTTATCTAGATAAACCGCGGTCAAGCAGTTCTTGCGGGGTGACTAGAAAGAAGATAAACAGTTTGTAAGTCACAAAAAAAAAAAAGTTTGGCAATCTTGCCTCGCAAGGATAACCGCCCGTTAATTCGTTTTTATTTCTTGATTTCTGAATAAAGATAGTTGTTACTCGATTCCTGGATAATGGAGTGTCATTAATTGGTCCCAGCATATCGTGGTATTGGTTGCAGAAATTGTGCCGGTTCTGTAGATTTAGATGAATCACGGTGTCAAGAGAGACAAGATTCACCTGAATCCTTTTGTTAAATTAGAAAATAGAGATGATCCAAGGTCCTGTGTCTCTCATTGGATAGCCGTGTAGAGTGTTTTTGTCCCGTTTCCTTTGCTGAAAATGCAGTAAATACCAAGCATTCTGATGTTTGCTACTGAGATAGATATTCTGTTACTGATTTTTACCCTTTGTCTCCTCCTTGTGTTTTTGTTCCAGAATCTGTAGCAAATGGCTGACGGCGAGGACATCCAGCCCCTTGTTTGTGACAATGGAACTGGCATGGTCAAGGTCCGTAGTTGTTGTATCTTGTTCATGCTGGTACTTCATATTCAACAACCTTGTTCTGCTAATTTAATCACACGCTTTCTTACAAACTATTGGCAGGCTGGTTTTGCTGGTGACGATGCGCCAAGGGCTGTTTTCCCAAGCATTGTTGGGCGTCCCCGTCACACTGGTGTGATGGTTGGCATGGGGCAGAAAGATGCGTATGTTGGTGATGAGGCCCAGTCCAAGAGGGGTATCCTGACTTTGAAGTACCCGATCGAACATGGTATTGTTAGCAACTGGGATGACATGGAGAAGATCTGGCACCACACCTTCTATAATGAACTCCGTGTTGCACCTGAAGAGCACCCCGTGCTGCTGACCGAAGCCCCACTCAACCCCAAGGCTAATAGGGAGAAGATGACCCAGATCATGTTTGAGACCTTCAATGTTCCTGCCATGTATGTCGCCATCCAGGCCGTGCTTTCCCTGTACGCCAGTGGACGTACAACTGGTAATGATTCATTCACATGATGACCAAATTTCATTAGGACTTCCCAAATTTTTCCATCTTAATTATGGATTGCTGTTCTTCATTCAGGTATTGTATTGGACTCTGGCGATGGTGTCAGCCACACCGTGCCAATCTATGAAGGTTATGCTCTTCCTCATGCCATCCTGCGTCTCGACCTTGCTGGGCGTGACCTGACTGACAGCCTTATGAAGATCCTCACTGAGAGAGGTTACTCCTTTACCACCACTGCCGAACGGGAAATTGTAAGAGACATCAAGGAAAAGCTCGCATACGTGGCTCTTGACTACGAGCAGGAGCTGGAGAGCGCCAAGAGCAGCTCATCTGTGGAGAAGAGCTATGAGCTGCCCGATGGTCAGGTGATCACCATTGGGGCAGAGAGGTTCAGATGCCCTGAGGTCCTCTTCCAGCCTTCCTTCATTGGTATGGAAGCTCCTGGCATCCATGAGACCACCTACAACTCCATCATGAAGTGCGACGTGGATATCAGGAAGGACTTGTATGGTAACATTGTGCTCAGTGGTGGCACGACCATGTTCCCTGGTATCGCGGACCGTATGAGCAAGGAGATCACTGCCCTTGCCCCGAGCAGCATGAAAATCAAGGTGGTAGCACCGCCTGAGAGGAAATACAGTGTCTGGATAGGAGGATCCATCCTTGCCTCCCTGAGCACCTTCCAACAGGTTAAAAACTCGCACTTTTTTTTTTTTAATTTCCAGTTGCTATGGCAAATATTGCAACCGTTCAGTAGTTCCAGTATGTTCTTCATACTAAAAACTTGGTCTGGTATTTATGCTACAGATGTGGATCTCAAAGGCTGAGTACGACGAGTCAGGACCCGCGATTGTTCACCGGAAGTGCTTCTAAGCTCAAAGGCCCCCCCCTTCGGCTCCATTTTATGTATTCCTTTCCAGCGAGTGCTTTTCATGTAAGCTACTATGTTTGATATTGCCGGCCTCTTGAGGAGGCAATGTTGTTGGATTTATATTTTGTGGCTCACTACAATGCATGCATTGCTCCAGCTCCTTTCCATGCCAAGTTTGTTGCTAGTGGTGAAAACATGAACCACAAAAAAAAAAAGAGGTTGGAAATTATTTAAGTACCTAGGATCATATTGTAACTGTACTTGTGCTGAGTAACATTATTATTGGTTCTCTTTGTACATCCATCTCCGAGACATGCAATTCGTTTGATTGGTTTGCTACTTCTGTGAATGATTTCTTGGCGCTGGTGGTTGTGACATTATTGTCATCCCACAAACTCCAAGCTTTTGAATGGCAACTTCCCTGGGATTACCTTTGGGCTTTGGCTGCTTGTCCGTCCCCAGATATGTGGATTTCTGATTGCTGAATTTCATGTGCTGCTGCCTGCTAAAGTTGTTCCCATGTTACTGTTAAAAAGGTACCGTAGCGAGTGCATGAATTCAGGAACATGGGTTGCCGGTTGCCCTGTGCTGTGCCCCAGTCCGAATGTCTGCGCCGAACATGGGCAGGGCTGCTGCTGCTTTCGCAGGTGGGTCCAGACCATTTGCTCCTTCCAGCTTTCTTTCAGTACCCACGTTCTCTAAATGACACATTTTAATTGTGGCTTTTGATTGCAATTAATTATCGTCCTATTCGCTTGGCTTATAAATCGTACTTTTTCAGCCAACCAATAATATTTTTCTCTCATAACAAATCAGCCGATAATACTTTCAGTCATGACTTATCAGCCAAACGAACAGGGTATGATATGAGCATTTTCAGCTGCCGTGCAGCCAAAGATTCTGAACGATTGTCGTGCATTGGAGCGGAGAAGGTTTTGCATTCGTAAAGTCTTGTGTATACTCTCTCATTTACCCCTAATTCTTCAGGTGTACTCCTATTTACCATTTTACCTAATGAGAAAGCAGGTAAATAGTGTCAAAAAAACCAATCCTACTTTTGGTTTGCAAAAAAAAAAGGACAAACTTGTTGAGAATCGGTCTATTCACGGATTGGTAGATCCGTTTTCTCTTTCCCGATCCCAAGAAAGATGCGCGTAGAACTTGTAGATAGATCCCGTTTACCTCTCCCAATCCACGAGAACAATATACAAGAATACACGGGAGACACAGGTTTACGAGGAGAGCCATCTCTTCATTAGTTATTTGACGTATACATGTAGTCCATTTATATAGATGTCTTCAGGGTATATATGGTAGCCACCATGACATATATGGTATGAGTCCATCAATCCTCTAATTGAGGAATTCTTAACACTCCTCCTTGGATGAATACCATGACAAATACATGCCTCATTAAAACTCCAAAAACCCAATGGAAAAAATATGGAGAAAAAGTATATTATTGTTGCTTAATGCATTTACTCATTGTTGCCTCATTAAAAACCTTACATAAGAAACTTCAGGAAAACTCAAGGAAAAAAAATTGTACAACATATGTCTGCAGGACAAATTGTGACCTTCTGGATCATATCATTTTGAATTCTCCAGAATTCTGATCAAGGGTTAATATTCTAGGGAAGTCCCCTTGAACCTTGCAGAACTGTACCGCTATGCCAAAAACGCTTTCTACAGGAAGCATATGCACATAGAGACCTAACAAAGTATATAGCATACATTATAAGGATCATTTCATAATCTTAACCTCATCTTACTTCTGGAAGCCGCCAAATAAAAATATGAAGAAAGTATACACAAACAATAAACCCACTTTCATAAATGGTGTCACAATAGAGCCTTCAACATAGGTTAGGAAGTTACCATTAGAATAACACCTTCTAGGTATTGTTTGAGACTTTCAAAGCTCGTGAATGACAATCAATATCTTATAATTACTCACCCTGATGACAACATCTATTGAAGTCATTCATTCCCATGACATTAACCGTTATTTGGAAATAAACATAGACATGGATAGTGCAGGTGAGATTACAAGATTTTCACAATATTCGGTTTTTATGATATTTGTCTCGCTATTCTTTAAGAACATTGAGATAGAGAATAATGCAGAGGAATTTATTATATTCTAGCATGCATATATCAGGATGCATATTTGTGCACTTCAAAGTTGCAATGACACACATCTTCGAGATGTGATTAAAAATCATTATTCTTTATATCATTATAATTTTCACGATTCATAATAGTTGTGACTCTTTCTGGGATTGACTACGGATTCTTCGAGAATCTTTAATACATAGTAAGACATCATAAGTCTCTATTTCTAGCGTAGCGGAGAAAGTATTGCTAGTAACACCAAATATATCATGTCGGTTTTCAGAGGATACTTCAGTTCCAAAGCTTCAGGTGGAGAACGCATTATATCACAAGTATATATTCACCCATAGTAAAAGCTCATGAAAATGCGCACGTGCTTATATGGTATACCTATCAGTTACTCTTTTCATTCTTATCTCTCAGGTCTTATATGGGTCTTTATTCCTTCCAAGGAATTTACTGTTTTGGTGCATTCAAACTCATAACCATATATTCCTTCGAGGAAAATCCTTCGAGGAGTTTGTTATATTTATGAGGAGATCAATCCTCTTAAATAAAATATAGATATGAGATTTTGATGTTGCTCTTCATGGATTTTCAGAATCCCATGCATAACTGCATATTTTGATTTATTCCATTAGCCAGATTTATTATATAGCGGGACATATTCTGTAAAACTTATGTCAGAACTGATCTCTGTTAGGACCTTTTGAACCATCACTTTTCACCACCCATTATTCAATGATGACCCATAATTATCTGAACATCAGGTTCAAGACATTCACTGTAACACCCTCGGTGTTACACTATATAGCTTTTTGCTAAAACACTACATACGCATCATACTTATGTGTGAATGTGTGTAATATAGGGTGCAAAGCAATATACGGAACTTGAAACGTTCATCGGAAACACGAAACGAATGTTATATTTCATGTCGCGTTGTCTCACTTAGTGTTCCAAACGAATTTTTATTGAACGAGAATGCTATAGAACGCATAGACGAAACTTTGATAAAGTTTGTAGTACAAATTTCGTAGGTGGCGGTGAAATACTTGCGGTCGAGAATGGGGTTCACTAGATAGCATAGTTGGTAGCCTAGAAATCGAAGTTGACGCGAATCCAAACAAAAGCTTAGTCGATTTTCGTAAAGTCAGAAAATGGTTCGACGAAGCTAAGTTCGATATTTTTTATAGGGGAATCGGGTTAAGCAGTGGCATGGTCTTAAGGTTGGTTTTAGTAGCTTGATACACCATCTCGAACGTAAAATAGTTGGTGTAGCATTTGGATCATTGAGTGGGATTTTTGAGCCGCTTTAAAAACTGTGCATGGCACGTTACGCCCGCCCGCGCGCGTGGCTCCACGCAGCTGGCCACGGCCACTGTTGCCGTGCTCTAGCGCACGAACGCGCACCACGCCAGCAAGCCTGGCTGCTCTGCCCGCTGTTGCGTCCGCCTACTCCACGCTGCTCGCCGTCGTGTTGCGCTGCGCACCCGGTCGCGCTGCGCTCCGACCGTCGCTGTCGCGCGGTCACTGCTGCCGTTGACCCTCCACGGCTGCACACACGTAGCCTAGCCACCTGACTTTGCCATCGCGTCTGCGCTCGATGCCACGCTATGCTGTTGCCTTCTCGAACCGGCGTCAATCTCTGTGGCGCGCTGTGCCGTGCCGTCGTTGTCTTGCGGGTCGTGGCGCTGCGGTTGCACGTCGCGCTGTCGTCCTTCCCCAATTAGAAATTGCACCACGCCAAGCCACCGTCACATCTCCTTCAATGACGTCACGCCGGTCGAGCCGCGCCAAGGCAGAAACCACAGAGCTTGGCCCTACTCTCGTAATTGCGCACGTCTGGAGGTCGAGTGGGAGTCTAGCTTCGTGCCAAGCTTGCCACTGTTGCAGCCGTACGGTGTCGGGGCTTCGATTGGAATTTTCCCCCGCCGTCGACCCCTTAAGTCCGAACGTCGTCGTTCGTCCAATTAGCCTTGCGTAGTCCACCTCCTTCCAATTTGTTGTGCACCCAACTAGCCTTGGTAGTTAGCTTGCGATTGGAGTCGACCCGACGAGCTTTCGTACTCCAGTGAGGTAATGTGGCGCTTTCTCCTCGCGGCGGTCCGCCATGGCCACCGAGGCGGGCGCTCGGCCAGGGTGTTGCTCATTGCTCCATTGTCTCAATTCAGCAATGCTTTTGCGTCTCCTTGACTTGGTTAGCTCGCCCATGTAGCAATTTTGCTGGTGGAGCAGCAGGTCGCCGGGGACGTTGTCGCCGCGCTTGCCGTGAACCAGAGTCACCCCGCGCTCGTGGCCAACCACCTTGCCAAGCCCCATGACTTTGTCCCGTCTACCCTACGCGTATCTAGTGAGGTCCTCTTACTCCTAGGGTAGGTGATTGAGACGGTTGGGGCCAGGGCTCGTCGGAGCGCGTGGTCGCCTCTGGCGAACGTAGTGTAGATGCGGTGTACGTGGCCGGGTCGTTTGGGAGTAGCACGGGTATGTCTTGGACCTCTGGGATGTTACCAGTATGTTAGGCATGGAGTCTAGGTAGTGATGCTAGAGTGGTGTTAGGTGATTTCACCGGCGTCGGTGTTGCCACGGCTAGACCCCGCCGCAGTGCATGGCCACACCTATGCGATGTACTGTTTTTAGTGTATGATACCTCTATCGATGGCGTTTCGCTCGTAGAGTGCTAGGGAGGTGTTGGTTGAGGCCGAGGAGTCCCGTGCTCGCCGACGTTTGGCCAGAGATGCCACGGCCTCGGTTGAGTTCCGGCCAGGGACTTTGTTACGCAAATTCAAAGTGAACCGGAGGGTTAAGTGCGAGAGTCAGTGAGAGAGGGGAATAGTGGAATGGACCGCGGTTCCATTTGATTGGAAGCCGAGGGCTCTTTTGCATA